ACATATGTCACACATTACCAACAAATGCTGATCGGTGCACTGAAATGAGCACAACGAAATTAGAACATAACAATGGAGGTAGATGAAATTTTCCACTCGTTTCAGAATGTTCTCGATTTTGAATGACTATCTTGATTATCCTCATATAAGAGCTTGTAATCCACTCATGCAATCAATGGATTCATCGAAAAATCTTCTTCTATCCCTCTCAAGTTCAATGGCTACCGTCATGAGGTAGATAGATATCGCTCAAAAAACAGCGACAAGGCGATCACCTGATTGATGTGAATCAAGTATGCGCAAGAATAATGCAATTGCAAACCAATGTTCCTGATTAATATTGTTGGTAAGAATACAAATCTCATGTTATTAGGTGAAACATTCACCTTATGACATATGCTGCAAACAGGTGGAGATGCGTGTAAGGAGTGCAGAATCGGGGTATTTGGCTGAGATTTACTTATGGGTGAGATATCATTTGATTTCGTAGCGTTACTGGCACTGGTACCACTACTAATACGTCCATTTCTTTTGTTTGATACTGACTTCGAACGAGCACATGTGGATGGCGACACAGTCGATGTCGACGGTTTACTCGATGGTGTCTTGGAGGCGCGATGTTGTCTGCAATAGAGCAACAAGTTAAGCTAACTATCGAACCGGATAATTTGTTTTGCATTCACATGTGCAAGTGATTACTTGCACTCCAATCATTTCAGTTAATCAACTTGGATTAACACCTCACATTTGAAACATCCAAAGCCTCTCATAACATTCGATCATGTGCTTGTATTGTCAAGGAATCACTGTGAAAGCATGAGATACCTCCGGATACTCTGAAAATCAATGAAAAACCAACTTCGATGGTGAGCACAGTTCATGTGAGAGGCCTGTAAATGGCTTCCGAATCTTCTTCACTCCTAACGCCACCATTGTACTGTACCAACTGAGCAGCACACGTTGTTCTCGAACCGGACTCTGTACACGAGGTTGTGGCGACGTGTTGCTATTCGATGCTGATATCGATTTTTCCAACTGAAAATCAATTGTTTTCCAGACACGGAGGCACTTAAGAGATTGTAGCTTCCAATGATAAATGTTCTAAATCATCATTAACTCCTTCACAATTGAGAACTATGACAGTTCCCATCCAAATTTTTGACTTCCCAAATTTCTTTTTCATGACCTCTTCTAGTTCGTATTCTGATGAGATTCAAGACATATCCTATTCAATGAAAGGTTTGAAGCGGAAAGTCATGCACTACAACATGACAAGTATGATAAGACAATGAAAGAAATAGAAAATCGCACGTGAGGATGCTTCTTACCTCACAAAGTTCCTTCTCGAGTTCAGCTTGTTGTTTACGTAAATTCATTGCTTCCGTTTCCAGCTCCTTCAGTCGCATTCTCTCAGTGGGTAGTATCTTTTCCCGAGCTTCGAAATAGCTGCAGAAATGAACACATCGCAAAAATACTCACTATCCACATTTTAAAATTATTATCTTAATTTATCTCTGTACTTTAAAAAAATATCTCTCTTTTCAATCACATCAGTTAAAAGACTATAGAGGTTTTGTTCCATTTTAAATCCCAATGAGTACAACAACAGAGATCGCTGATAAAATTTACAACAATCACTTGGTGAATCGCAAAGAATGATGACACAAAAACGCTAAATTTACCTGAGGAATTCGTGTGAAAATCCTGGCGGAAGATAGGAGAGATCGGCACCATCGATACGTTTGAAATTACGCTCGAATTGCTCGTGAGTGAAACCAGCGCAAATGGCCTTATCGCGGAACAAATCCAAAAACATCGGACTCGTATTCAGCAACTTCGGACGTTTAATATCATTCTGCAAACAGAATGGTTTGAATCTCTCCAACCCACTAACAGAAGTAATTTCTTCAGCACAGCTCGATAATTGGTCGAGTTGAAAGAGTACGTCGCATTCAAGTACGAAACTGAATGGTATAAAGAACACGAGCGAGTAGACATCTATAAATAAGGTTTCAACAGATAAATAGTCAAAATCACTATCTGAATGCTTAACGTCCGATTCTTTTGTCTTCTCGATTGCCCCACGGTCTTAACAAAGTTACTATCTACTGAACATTTTGTTCCTATTGCTGAAAATGTTCACAAAGCTACTACCTCTGGCCACGATATCGAAACACCTTCGAGACTTTTCAGTATTTTCTTGTGTCTGGCTAATCCACGCTGCCTGAAATTATCCAACCATATAACAATTTATGAATATCAATAGATCACATGATACAGTTATTATATATTCAGTATTACCTTCCAAATATCAATTCGAACAGTTATACAATACATTCATTACCACCGACAAATGAAACAGATACGCAATGAGACTTTACTTCATATCAACACGAACACAAAAATATACGGTAACAATCCAAACACAACAATAATGAACCTTTTCTTTTCTTCACGTTGCGTCAACAAACGTCTGTGCATAATACGTAAGCGTTCCTCTTCTTGTTTGTGAAACTTCATGCAACTGAAATTTAGTGAAAATCTTAGGGAATAATAAAACGGTAATGAACTGATTAGAAATAACAGCTACATCGTGATATGTCAGCATAGCTCATTTGGCAATACTGTTAATCTGATCAGCCTGATCATTGAACAATCGTTAATTATTCTTTTCTCACAGTCAGTCGGAATAGCTAGCGGAAAAGCATATGTTAGAACTGAGAACAAGTTTCATTGAAACTTCAGTTCAGTTCAATACCTTTAATTAGAATCGCTCGTGTTAACTTCAAACACATTTGCTATTGTAATTCATTGTGAAAAGATACAATGTCTAGTCCGATTGAAAATATAATCCGATTTGAATGACTGCTATTCGAAAACGAAGGAATTCAAAGATGAAATGAAACTAAACATACGCATGCTTAAGGCGTGGTGCAGCGTCTGGGTTACTGTGACGTTGACACGTCAAGAAACGTGGATCGACAGTGTCCGCGTCCGCGAAATACCTGCAAACTATTCCCTTCACAGAAACCAGCACTTTCATCACTGAATCTCCGACGAGACGAATGAAACAGAACATGTATGGATTGTGAAGAAAACTTCAATATTTTGAATAATGCAAAACTTCATTAAGAAACCAAACGCTCAAACGAACCATTTTTGCTTACTGGCTTGATGTGGTTTACCTTTACCGTTAACACGCTCGTTTTCCACTTCGGAATTATCAACTAACAAGCCGAGTCTGAAAATTGCAAAATGAACTCTCGAAATACGAAAACTTCACCTTTCAGTAAGTGAAATCTTCCAGGAACACCACTCAAATTGGAAGAATTCACTTCCTATTCGGAATTGAAATCAATTACCTCCTAATAATCAGAGAGTTATTCGACGAAA